AATCTGTCACATCATATTTATACCCCAGACGAATAACATCATGGATTATTAAGTAACATTTCTCATTCTGTTTATGTCAGAAATGTAAAGAGCATTATAGAAAAATGTAGGCATTCTAATTGTCTGAAATATAATCATAAAAATATGATAGAGTTTGTGTTTGTAGCATATAACGCCATGTGAAAGGCTCAACTGATCTGAATACTTTAGAAAGGGGCTGATAGAGCTGATCAAGCTGAACACAAGGTTGTGGGTGAGGGGAAGAGACAACTCACAGCCAGCAGAGGGCAGCATCTGCAACATTTTCATTTTTTATTAACCCATGACTCAGTTTGTTCATTCCTTCCATTGTGTGTGCTGATGAATCCTGTGTTCCAGCTTTGCCATAAAAATGAGTAATATAAAAAAAATAAAAAATAAGTCATCCATCTTCAAGCTTCTTCTGTAACGTCATTCAGATTTTCCAAAGACAACAATCTTAAAGTATTCCTTGGAAACATCAGGCCTGAAGTGTAAACCAATATCTCAACCTCCATGACTATAATGTGAAGTATTTTAAGTTCAGTTAAAACAAACACTGAACCTTTATTTTTCTTTGTTAAGACCTCAAGCACATACTCTAATTTTTTCCTTAACTCCCAGACAAACATCCTCTCTTCAGATTCAGTTTGTTCTCTCCAACGTTTGATTCATTACTCTTTGAATGGGCTGGTTATTTCTGAACAACACATTCAAAGAGGGTTGAGGTGGCTTCAATTGTAATGAGTTCCTGTCATAAAAACAATGTGGTTTGGCTCCAAACCTCTGATGCATTTCTGATTCCCTTGTGTTTGTGTCTGGACGGAGTTTCCCTTTAGACTAAAAACGATCTAGAAAAAATGTACCCTTAATTTGAGTAAGTAAAGGAAATAGTTTGCCAATGGAATGCGTATTTTTACTCTTAAAATAAGATAATTATGCACTTGACATAAGACAATGACATTGTGTTTTCTTATTTTAAGTGTAAATTGTCTTGTTTCACTGGTAAGATGTCTCTTTTACCTCCTCAATCCAAGAACAAATGCACTTATTTTAGGAGAAAATGACTTATCGGTAGCTAGATTTCAATTTTTTCCAGTGTAGAAAGGGAAGCAGTGATGAAACTCATGATGAAGAGTCTCCAAGCTTCCCTGCTCCCTCTCAATTCTGCTAAACCATTTAGTGGCCTTGGATGATAAAATACATACTCTTAATTTTTTAACTTGTTGCATTATTTTATCTACAGACTTTAATTGGCCTTCTTTAGTTATTTGCACCCCTGGTAAAGAAATCTGAAAACATAAACTCATCTGGTATCGTAGAAGCATCGTTTTATACTTAAATTTAATTTAATACAAGTAGCTTCTCTGGTTTCACACTTAAACTATAACCACCAACAATCCATCAACGTCATTTTGGTTCAAACATTTTTGTAACATGTTCTTTATATAAACAGAATGAGAATTTTTACTGTTGATATCCTGTTTCTCAAGGGTATAAATAGGATTTGACACAGATTTCCTTTTTTCTTAGCCACTTCTAAAAATCAGAGAAACAAGCACATATACTTTTAAAGAAAGGCAAGTGGAAGTGGAAGCCGCTGCTGACCCTAACATGCCTCTATCTCCAGCCAAAGAGAAAAAGATATAAAACAGCTACA